GACATGACAATGTTGGACTTCTAAAAGAACAAACTACTACAAGTGCTACGTATTATTTTTTAGTATGGGTCTATTAATACTAGGCTCATGATTGTTACCAAAGAGGAGCCGTGATTAACAGAGAAGATCAGTTTCTTTGAAGACCTACACAACACGTTAACAGCCGCAAGGAGCAGACAGAAGGGATATTCTCGAGCAGCACCTTCAAGTTCTCACTTCTTTTTCTCTAGATTATTTGGACATACTTTTGCTAGATATTATGGAGGCCATGCGCGGCTAATTCTCTTTTGCTTCGGTTGAATACGATTGAAGCCTCGAACTTAATACGGTGATATCTAATTAGTTTTTATCTATTAATTCATATTTCGTATTAATTGTTTTGTATCTTTATGTTTATGATTTTCTGTTAGGATTGTAGCCTGATCAACTATTGTCTTATTCACTTAATCTATTGCTTGGTAGATATTGAGTCGGATTTAGATAATTTATCTATCGTAAGAAGCAACTAAGTGTGGTAATTGACCGGATTTAGGTGTTATCATTCTTAGGCAAAATAATTATAATTTATATAAGTTAATATTTAGCGGATTAGTTATTTGTTGCTTGTGTTGCTGGTCTCTAGTTCTTATGGCATGATTGATATGATGAAATGTAATTTCATATGAATGGAATGATTATGGAAATGGAATGAAACAAGTTTTGTCATGGATGCGTTTGGTATGCAGAAAAAATAAGACCTGAATGGAATTACATTATCAAAATAAATAAAAGCTTTTTTTTTAAAATAATATATTTTTAATTAATTATATATAAATTCTTTTTTTAATAATATAAAAAAATAAAATAATATATTTTTAATAATATATAGAAATAAAATAATATATTTTTAATAATATATTAAAATAAAATAATATATTCTTAAAGGTAATATGTTTTTAATATATAAAAAATAATATATTTTTAATAATATATAAAAATAAAAAGTAATATCTTTTTAATAATATATATTTTTATATTTTAATTAAACAATAAATAAAAGTAATTTTTCAATTTTTTTATTTGAATTTTATTTTTTAAAATAATATATTCTTAATAATATATAAAAATAAAAGGTAATATATTTTTAATAATATATATTTTTAATATTTTTTAATAATATATTTTAAAAGTAATATATTTTTAAATTATATATAAATGATTTTTTTTAGTTTTATTGTTACATAAGTATTTAATATATCTAATTAAAATATAAATAAAAGTAAGTTTTTTCAATTTTTTTATTTGAAATTTATTTTTTAAAATAATTTTATTTAATATATTTTCATCATGATTTATAATATATATTATATATTTAGTTTTTATTATTATATGTTAATTTTATATTTTGTAAAAATTGATTTTTACACACATGGGAATGAGAAAACCTTCCATTAAATATGGAATGACTAATCCCATGGAGATGGTTTTTGTCATTCCCATTGGAATGGTCATTCATTTTCCAAAAAATATACCAATCATGAGATAAGGAATGAGTAAAGGAATGATCATTCAATTCTCATGTAATTCTTTCCTACCAATCATCCATTAATGCTATCGCTAGGATAATTTTGCACGATGTTGGTAATTGCCTAGTAATAAGAGTTGTGTTGAAGGATTAATTTTGCATAACTAATTCGGGAGATAGAATTCATTATTCAACGACATCTACGTATTTATGAATTGATAATATTTGCATCAAGGATCAACAGAATACTTCGTGGTGAAAATCAGTTCAACCAGAGCACTTTAGCTATATATCTATCATCATCTTGCTGTTTACTTTTGAATATTTTGTTTAATAATTGTTTGCCAATACTTCCTTTATTTTCTTGTTAATTTGATAATTAAGATTATAAATCAAATCTCTTTAATCACATAGTTAGAGCCATCTAATTAAATTATTCCCCGTTGATATGATCCTTGCTCACGCTACTGCATATTTTTAAGCAAGGTTAATTGAGTGCCTATAGCACGATCAATATATGTTGTCATGATCTCTTAAATGTTTATTTTTTCTGAACATTCTTGTATTCAAGCATCCTCTAAACAACTTATATTTTTATAATTTATAAGTATTTAATTATTATGTAGACAATATAATATAGCATGACATCATTTTTATAATAAAGTAAATATTAATATAACCTAACATTTAAATATATAAAATTAATTTTACTAATAATTCACGGCGGATCGCACTGTATAACCAAAAGTCCAAACATTTCGATGGAATAACGAATCTATACTTATATTAAAAGGTATACCATTTACCAGATTTAGTATAAAGAAAAGGCAACAACATTTATTGCATTACTATTTCCGTATTATACAATCTATACTTATATAAAAGGAGATTCTATTTCCTATATTTACTATCCAGAAAAGTCAACTGCATTAAATGTCATTACTATATTGGTATTATAATATTTTATTTATTTAATTGATTTATTTATTTGTTTTATTTTAAAAAGGTAAGTATAACAAAAAGATTTTAATAATAAAAAAATCAAATACCAAATAAAAATGTACACTTTGACTTATTTGATTATATTTGGTATTTGATTATACCAAATATATTCCTATTTAATATATATACATTAAATACTTACTAAAGTATTTATTTGTTTTATTTGTCAAGGTTAAGTATAGATTTGTTTATATTATCAAATCATAAAAAAATATTAAATCCATATTGTAAAAAAAAAATCATATAATTTTATAACAATTCTACTACACTATTTAACAATATTTTTTTTATTATATAATAATATAATAATTAAATATTATATGGTGAACAACAATAAGTAAAACTATTACTTTATCTTATATCAAGAGATAAATTTATATGCTAAAATTAAATTTTTATTAATATAAATGTTTTAGTGAGATAATATATTAATTATTTTACAAGCTAGCCCTAACATGCTCATATTTAATGTTTTAAAAGATGTAGAAAAAAAACTTATAATAACTCTATTGTTTTTTAGACTTAAACGTTGATCAAAAGAGGTAAAAATTTCTAATTTTTTAGATTTAAACGTTGATTAACACGATAGATTGAGAGTTTATATTTAGTAAAATTCCTAATTGTAATAAATAAATTAATTTTTCCTATATTTTAGAATATCTTTAAATTCATTATAAAAAAAGAAAAAAAACTACAATGAAAAAGCAAGTCAGGTATATATGGATTTGTTGTACTCCTCAAATCACATTCATAATTTGGCTACAAGGAAAGGAAACTCATTGATCTAAAATATTATTTTGTTAGTAGTCTTACAGCATATTTGATAGCCATGACAGGATAATTGAAATCTTGTATGGAGTGACAAGATTGTACTGTATAGACAAACATGAAACTTTGTTTGGTATCAATGATCATTCCTAAGATAGGATTTCTAAAAAATCACGAGTATAGGTTTGTTTACCAAGACTATGTTTAGGATAAGATATGAATTGACCAAATTGCCCTATTGTTTTCCTTTTCATTCTTCCCCAAATTGAATATAAAATTAAAAAATCAAGTATAAAATCTACTCTCGATGCACCACCACCTCAGTGAGGCAAACTCATCTTCATATTCATCTTCATTGGTTGATTTTCTTTAAAAATAAAATAAAATTCAGTGAGGCAAACTCATCTTCATCTTCCTTTGCTTTTATGTTCTTTTTTTTTTAAAAAAAAAAAAGGGTCTTCAACTGACCAAGCGAAACGACCGGCGAAATTATTATGGGTTGACATAGCTCGTGACCGTTCGCGAAAATTAGAGTTGTGTAGTCGGAGCACCATCCTTTTGAACAACGAGCATTGATTTTCCTGCAAATTTACATGATAAAAAATATTATGATTTAAGCTGGGAGCAAATAGATAGAAAAATTTCTTAAGAAATGTACAAAACATGTTGAATAAAATGTCCAGGGCAGCTACAATGAAGATGTGGCAAGTGAGATGGCATTTGGTAATTTTCAAATCAACCAAGGTGTTATGGTGAAAAAATTTATAAAAGCAGGGGTAGTATTGACTTTGCGCATAAGGGCCACTGTACAGACATATTTAATCACACCCCCCACGCAAGATTCATTAATCGTGGAAACGCATGATTATCACCTTTTTGGTCGCGGGCCTGAACTTATCTGGCGGGCCGTAATCGGATGCAACAAACGCAAGATTAAAGCAGATAAAGTGCCTAATCTTATCCAATCTGGTTTAACAAATGTGCTCTTAATGTACAAGAGACTTTAAGACTCCACTTGAATATTATAAAACTCTTATTGAACATAGTACAATTTTCTTGCGTATTAAAAACTTTTATTGAATATTGCATCTTATAATATGATATTCTCCAAATAAATATATCTCGTGTTTTGCAAGCTAAGCTCAACTGGTCTGTTTGTTGCTGAAAATAGTGAGAAACTCTTCTCTAGAGTCATTAAAGCGGTCACGTACTATATATATCCCGTACATTTTTCTTTATTCATGTATATAATTATAAGCCTGAATAAATAGCCTTAAAATTGTGCACCCCGTGCATCGCACGGACTCTGTATTAGTACGAGTAAAACTTGTAATCACATCACATAAAAGTTTTGGCACAAAGCAAGTTTCCCAAAATCCGGAAAATATTATAAAGCCCAAAATAGCTCACCGGTCAGCCACCGCTGCGCATTTTAGCGCCAACAGGGTGAAGGCAGCTAACATGAGCATCCGCCGTCGTCAGATACCCATCTCCGGCCCCATCTCCTCCGTGCGACAAAATCTTTTTAATACCCCAAAAGTCAGTAATTCCCATTTTAACCCATACAACTTTTTCGTTCGTCAGTCTCCGATTTCCGTTAAATAGCACCGAGTGTGATAGATTTATTCTTTCAATCAATCAACTATATAAATAAATAAATAATATTCTCTCTCTAAAATAAGGATATCGCATTTGAGAAGAAGAAAGAAGAGAAGGAGCAGCTGAAATGGTGTCGACGAGGCGAAGTGGATCTCTGCCGTCGAGTAATAGTAAGAGATCGTCTTCGCCGTCCGATGATAATCAGAACAAGCCGTCTTCTCCCAAGCGTCAAAAGGCACTCTCTTTCTCGCACGCTCACACACAGATGAGGAGCTGTTGCCTTCTGTATTTGCTGGATTGCTTAATCCGCGCCGTTGATTTCTGAGCGGTCTTGTTTTGATGTTTTTCCCCGCAGGGTGAGAGCTGTAATACCAGTGCTAATAGTAAGAATCCAAAGGCGTTGGAGCCTCAGACGGCGGAGAATCCCAAGGAATTATGCTCAGCTGATCCGCCGGAGCTCCCTGCCGCGGCGGCCACCCCCTCCGTCTCCGTTGCTACTCCGGCCGCTGCAGAAGGTTGGTTTCTGTGATGATCTGTTGAATGTTTTGGCAAATTTAGCCTTTTCTCGCATGTGCATGTGCTGAAACGCTGAAAATTGGGGAAAATTCTGAATATTCAGGAGGTGCGGCAGCTAATGTGGATAAACCTAAGACCTCGTTCGCTTCCTGGAAACAACACCAAGGTTTCGAGACGACCTCGCCCTGGTGCAGGCTTCTCACAGAGTCCACGCAGGTACTTTCTTGTTCTTCTGCGTCTTAGTATATTCAAAATTGGTGCTGGACTTGTATTCTTATTATTGTGCAATACTTTGATTGGTGCTGGATTGCAACTTTAGATAGTTTTGCACTTATATTAGTTAAAGAGAGTGATTCAATCAATGCAAGTTCTTTGTTTGCAGAACCCCACTGTTTCTGTGTACACAACCAATTTCTTGGTGGGGGCAAGCAAACATGCCAATCTCTTGATCCGGGATCAGACGGTCAGTGCAATTCTGTGTTCCATAAGGCTTTCACAGGTAAAAAAGTGTTCTTTTATGAGTTAAAATTCATGCTACATGTTCTGTCTCATTTCTTCCCATGCAGTTCACTTGATTGGTTCACAATAAGATGATGTGGACCAGTCTTATGGATTTGGTTTGTGGAATAAGAAAGGAGATTGATGACGATGCCGAAAATCTAGTTCCGCCATCTAACGACTCCATGAATGCGATACCCTTTTAAATAGTTTTATATTGAATTGATGACGTTATATGCAAATATCACATAACTATTGCTATTTTTTTGAACCAATGTTGTTAATTTTGTCGTTTTTCGCCTATGTATATGATAATGACCAATGAGTATTTAGAGCTTGCACGTCATGTATTGCCTGCAAAATATTATTTCCAATTCTAACTTTTTTTTCTCATATTCCTATTTCTGTTATTATTCTTGTCGGTAACGATCAGCGAGACGAACAACCTGTTGCGGTACTTGAAATTCGGGGAAGCAAAGGATGTGTGCAAGTCAACGGGAGAACAATTAAGAAGAACACTAGTTGCAATCTCAATTCTGGGGATGAAGTGGTTTTCGGATTTCTTGGAAGTCATGCATATGTATCCTTTTATTTCTGTTCTATTCTTTGAATTCTTTCTATCTTTGTTCAATTCATCCATTACTTTATGTAGAACTGTAGATTGTCCTTAATCCCTGTCATACAGATTTTCCAGCAGTTGCCTTATGACAGTATAATAAAAACCCCTCCACCAGATATTCAAACTAATGCAGGGAAGTTGGTTCAAGTTGAAAGACGGGCAGGGGATGCATCAGCCGTTGCGGGTGCTTCAATTTTGGCATCACTTTCTAATCTGCGACAAGATTTATCTCGACTTAAGCCTACATCACTGACCAGCGGTAAAAATCACCGAGGGAGTGATCTTCCTTCCTCTCCCCTAATTAATGAAGACGATCTTGATGGTCAAGAAGTTAATTCAGCTACAAATTTAGGTGGTGAAGCAGCTGGAGATATAGGGGGAGCTACCAGCAAGATCCTTCCTCTTGATGGCAATGTAGAAGCTGGCTTAGAGGCAAGTAATGTGAACTGCTAGTGGAATAGAAACTTTTAATTTCGATATTTCATGACGTATTTTCTTGTATATAAAGAGTAAGAAAATTTCTCATGTAAACAGGATGAGAGAGATTGGCTTAAGGATTTGGCCCCGGTATCTTTATCAGTTATGTGTTCACGAACTAAAGCGTTTAGAGAAGGCATACTTGCAGCTATTCTCGATGGTCAGGACCTGGAGGTTTCATTCGATAATTTCCCATACTATTTGAGGTATGATTATGTTGTTCCATATATATTCAAAATTGTCAAATTAGATGTCTTCCTTTTCTACAAAATTCTTTGGTTTCTCTCTTGATATACTAATTATCAGATAATATATATATGTATGTATGTATATACATATTATATATATATATACACACACACACATATATATATATATATATATATGTACTTATCCCCTCATGGTCTTTTTAATACCTGTAATGTACTTAACTTGCAGTGAGAGCACAAAAAGTGTGCTAGTTGCAGCTTCCTATATACAATTAAGGCACCGAGATCAAGTTAAATTTACTTCTGAGCTTCCGACATTGAATCCAAGAATTTTACTTTCTGGTCCCGCAGGTAACTGGTTATACGTTGATATTTTCTCTAAATACTCAACTGTTTTAATGTTTGTTTGTGATATTAGCAGCACTGTTTCCTCATGATGTCCTCCCTTACTATGTGGCTGGTTTTCTTTTTCAGGGTCTGATATTTATCAGGAGATGTTGGTAAAGGCACTTGCTCATTATTTTGGAGCGAAATTGCTCATATTTGACGCCAATTCATTTCTCGGAGTAAGAAAAGATCATATATGTTTCATCAGAAGTTGTTTGTGCACAAATATATACATTTATATCTCTGTTTCCCATAAAATAGAAATAAAAGAAAATAGCTTATTCTACTTGACAAGGTCTTGCAAGCCAAAAACATTTTAGTTTTACTTGTTTATGTATTGATGAAATTCTTAATGTATATATTATACATTAAATCTAAATGGTGGAAAGCATAAGTTTGAAGGGTGAAGACAACTTTTTCCGGTTAATAATCAAGACCATGTTGTATGACATGGATAGAGGGACGCTTCGCTTCTGTTACTGAGTTGTATTTTGTCTCTGAATTCTGTTCCTAATCATTGCACTAGAGGTTTGAGTTGCAATTTATTGATAATGCTTGTGTATTAGGGTACTTCTAAGGATGCTGAGCTGAAAGAGGGGAACAATGCAGAAAAAGTATGTAGCACTAGCAAACATATTTCTGGGTCCACAGATCCTGCCAAGGACATTGGCCATTCATCTGGTGAAGTAGATGCCTCTAATTTGCTGAGTAATCCCCTTGGTTTGGAATTGCAGACGAGAATTGAAACTGACAATGTCCCTTCTTCAACTAATGCAACCAAGAACAATCCTTTTAAATTGGGTAAGTAGTTTGTTTCATTCAGTTAAATGTTCCATCAGCTCACAGCATTTAGATTAATTGTGATTCTTCTTCGTTGTAGCCCCAGTGCCTTAATAATACTAACTAATGTATTTCCATTATACATTACTGAATTATAAGTTTGTATTAGGCACAAATAATATGCTATCATGCAATTTTATAATTTATAGGTCACAGAATAATCTGTAATCATAAAACATATATTATATAAACTATTTTAGAATAGTAATTACATACAATTTTATGATTTAGATATTCAAAAATTATCTGAGTCACATATATCAGTATTGATTTTCATATTTGTAAGTGATTTGAATTCTTCCAAATTTAAATCTTTATAATTGAATCATAGTCCATTCTGTATTAATTGCTTATACAATATTGCAGGTGATAGAGTCAAATTTGTTGGTCCAGCCTCTGGTGGTTTATATTCTAGTTCTACCAGGTGATTATGACATTCATCATTTTTTTTACATGTTCTCTATGTTGGAAATTTTCGATACTTGTTATATGTTATTTATATGATAAATTTCTGTGTTTATGATTCACTTTTGGTTTGAGATCTTTATATGATCACCTACGTTGAATTCTACTTAGTTTGGGCTTCATTCTGCGTTTACCTTAATTCAAATTATGGAGGAAAAAAGTAAATTGGGTATCTTGGGATTGGAAATATATTGTTTTGGAAAAAAAATTGTTTGATTTAATAAAGTGAGTTAGAGAGTGGAAAAAATTGTTTGGGTGGAGGAATTAATTAACTTCGGGTTTGTGAATGGATATGAGATAAAATGTAACGGTGTGATATAAAAGAAGTAAAATAATGATTGTAGATAATTGGTTAAAAAAATGTGAGAATAAATAGTGAATTTTGTTGAAAATGTGTTCTCATAATTGATTTTTATTTTTTAATTGTGTTGATAAGACTGATGAGAAAAAATGGGAATAAATGAATAGTTGAAGCCTTTCTAGGAAAAAATTGCATNGAAAAAAAAAAAAAAAAAAATGCAGCGAGACAACAAAATCTGATATTATTTGTCTTTTGGGAGTTTGACCTTAGTTTGGACATTATTCCGTTTCTACCTTAGTAGAGAATTTGGAGGAATCCATGGTGCCTGCAAGTTTTAAATGTCTTTTGGGGGTTTAGCCTGTAAACCTTCTATCTAATATTGATGCTTATCTTTGTACTTTGGTCATCTCAAGACCTATGCACCGGCGATTGATGGTGTATGTAGTTAACTGTCCTTTCCGAATTGTAAAATTCTTAGTTATACTGTATGTATCTTGCATGAAGTCTTTTCCCTAGGAAATATGGTTGTTTTCACCTAGCTTTCTTGGAACTATATACCGTGCCTAATCTTGCAAGCTGAATTTGAAAACTTACGCAAGGTGTTATCCTTCAATTCTTCAATTACATCCACTTGGTGCAATGGCAGCCACAATCTACTGTTGATCTTGTCTTGATGCGACACTCATTTATATAAGTGGTTCATTTAATTTATTATGAGCACGTAGTGTCAAAATATGGTTTCCTCTAATATTTTTGGTTCTTGATGTTGTAAGATATGAAGTATAAAACTTCAGAGATCTGTTTGTATGAATTTGGGAAACCAAAAGGGAAACTGTGGTCTGGAAATTTAATTTAAATATTGTGATGTTTGTACACTATTAGAAAAACTTGTTTGATGGTGGAATCAGCACATTTTGCTTTTGATGAATACTTCCATTTTTAAATCATTGTGATCTTGTTATTTTCTATCCAGATGTGATCCGACCATATATGTTATTTATGATCTAGAATGTATCAGAGAACGGGACTGCATGTTGTGTCTTCTCTAATTTGGAAATTTGATCTTAGTAGTGTGTGTGCGTGAATATTTCAAGATGCTGAGTTTTTGTGAAATGTGACCAACTTAACGGCTTTCTAGCTGGAACTTCAGGGGCCCAACTCCTGGAATGCGGGGGAAGGTTCTTTTGCCATTTGAAGATAATCCTCTTTCGAAAATTGGTGTAAAATTTGACAAACCTATGCAAGATGGGCTTGATTTTGGAGGTCTTTGTGACAATGGACATGGATTCTTTTGCAATGGTGATATGCTATTTCATTAAAATTTTACTCATTTATTGCCTTATAAGTTCTTTATCATACCTCTCTCTCATTCATTTTATATCTGTGTCCGTCTTTAGCCAATGAGCTTCGCTTGGACACTTCAGGTGTGGAGGATTTGGACAAGTTACTTATTAACACAATGTTTGAGGTGGGAACTTATACTAACAGAATGAGTTTAGACTGATGCGTATCTCAGGTTTATCTTATACTAATACAAGTTTCACTCTGCATCACCAGACCGTGTTTGATGTGAGCCAAGAATCCCCTTTCATTTTGTTCATGAAAGATGCTGAGAAGTCCATGGCAGGAAACTCTGAGTCATATGCTGTATTTAAGACCAAGCTGGAGAAGCTTCCTAACAATGTTGTAATTATTGGTTCACAGACTCAAACTGACAACCGTAAAGAAAAGGTAGTTGCTAACCTTATCTGTGAGACATTCGCTTCACTTTGAAAATTTTTGTTATGTTACTCTTAATTAAGTAATTTGCTGTACCACAGTAGAATAATTTGCTTTAAATCTCTATGAAAAAGTAATCAAAACGATATCAGATTTTCTCATTCACTAGTTGTTTTCTCATGCAGTCTCATCCTGGTGGTTTGCTTTTCACGAAATTTGGGAGCAATCAGACTGCTTTGCTTGACCTGGCTTTTCCTGTAAGAATTAATGCACTTGCGTTTTTGGTTGTATATTCACTTTGTTGGCATTCATATTGAAGTGAACTTTGGTTTAGCCATGAATATCAATTGGGTGTTGTAGCATGCATTGGCATTTTTCACAAAACCCATTAATTTGATATATTGGAAAACTATCCATCACTATGCAGCATTGCTTTTCGCCAATTTCCATCCATTTTTCAGGTGACACTGAACTTGTCGGTTGATATTTGCTTCTCATTTCGAACATTGTAGTGATGAGTGGCAGGGGTAATACTATATGACCTAAAAACTTATCTGCTTAATTAATCGTTTCACGCTACCACTTATTTCTCTTTCATGTGACATTTTGACTTCCAGCCATTGAAAGTTCATGACAAACCACTGATGTCCAAATAAGTGTTTTATATATATTGAAAGGAGGAATCCCCATCAGTGTTTAATGCATAATTTCGGAAAGGACCCACAACAATGCACAGGCATACCTACCTATTTATAAAATAGTATCTAGAAAGAACTTAAAAGTACATACACAGAAATTTCTTTGGGAAAAAAGCCATGATATTCTTTTTCTGAAGACTTCCTTTGAATCCCCAGCTGAAACTATGGTCATGAAACCAGGCTTTAGGATTTCTTAGTTGGCCCGTGGTGATAACCGGCCTAGATAATTTAAACCTTGTGCTGTAGTGGACACTCAACGTATTATGTCTCCAACATGCAGCAACTTATACTTGATTTATTTCCGATTCAGTCCAGTGTACAAATGATATTAAACATTAAATTTCTTTGCAAACCAAGCTGTGATTTTTTTTTTTTTTTTTTGTCAAACCAACTGCTACTTTGTTTTTATTCAACCGCTAATAGTGGGATCAAAGATTTTGCTTACCAGCAAGGCTGGTCACGATTTTTCCTTGGCAGAAGTGCCTTGTGAAATTATTCAATAGAATACCACTTTCAAATTCATTACTCAGTTTCTGTTATACATGTTGTTTGCCTTCTGTCTTTTTCTACTATGTGTTGAACGTTCACTATAGAAGTTTTCGCATATAGTAAATTTTGATTTTGTTCCATCTCTGACTAGTTTTAGGGGTTAATATGATTTATTATTGATAATCAGGATAGTTTTGGGAGGTTGCATGACAGGGCTAAGGATATTACGAAGGCAACCAAGCTTTTATCCAAACTTTTCCCAAATAAAGTGACAATTCACTTGCCTCAGGTTTGTTCAAGATTTTCCACACAGATTAGTGTGCATTAGTTAACTGTGATATGATGCTTATAAGCATATTGCAGGACGAGACCCTTCTAGTCAGTTGGAAGCAACAATTGGAACGAGATGCTGAAACTCTAAAACTGAAAGCAAATCTGAATAATTTACGGACGGTGAGATCCTTTTATTCATAGATTATGATTGTATTGTTTATTCCTTTGTCATCCTTGTAGGGTTATAGTACATACAATATTAATGGTTTTAAAAAATTATACTTGGCATGAATCATCTTATAATTATTAATGAACAAATTTATCCATCTACTTGGTAGTGTGGAGCTGCGTTAATAAAATGATAATTAATATGATTTAGTATTTCTTGATATTAATTCAGTAGAAATTTATATTTCTGCTTGACAAGTTCAAATGTTCACGGCTTCATGTAACTTTGCTAGTGGAACCTAATTTTTAACCTTAATGCATACATCCTGTATCCAACAATCATTAGTATCCAGATAATCTTTCAAAACATTTCTTGCTGCAATTGTTTTTGTTTCACTAGTCTATCAGTATTTCTTCTTAAATTCTATACCTGTATATTGCAAGGAATTTGATATTGCGGATGTTACCAGTACTGCTTTAGACATATTGCGCCATTTCTTACATACAGGTTCTCAATCGTAACGGGTTGGAGTGTGATGGACTTGAATCGTTGAACGTAAAAGACCAGACACTTACAAATGAGAGTAAGCTTATCCTTGTCCTCTCCCCTTGTAGAATGGAAGATTAATCATCTTTGTCCTGCCCCCTTTATGCGATTAACTACATAATCTTCTCACCAGAGCATTTATCTTCCATTGTTGAGCAACACCCCTTTATGCAATTAACTATTAACTACATAATCTTCTCACCAGAGCATTTATCTTCCAATGTTGAGCAACACCCCTTTATGCAATTAACTATATAATCTTCTCACCAGAGCATTTATCTTCCAATGTTGAGCAACACCTGTGGGCTGAACATATACTTTTTATAATTTTTTGAAGGTGCGGAAAAGGTGGTTGGATGGGCTTTAAGCCATCATTTGATGACAAATCCTGAAGCTGAAGCAGATACGAGGGTTGTGTTGTCTAGGGAGAGGTAAGAATAAGTTGCCACCTATTTGCTAAATGGTTCAATATAACATACTCACTCAATTTCATCCTGTTTCAGCATTCAATATGGAATTGGCATTCTACATTCTATCCAAAATGACTCCAAGAGTTCAAAGAAGTCCCTTAAGGTGATACTTCCTGCCTGACCTCGACATGAGTATCACATATTCAGTAGTTGTTGCTCATTGATTACAAGAAAAATAAGTATCTTAAGTATTATATTATTTTGTTGCTTGCCCAGGATGTCGTGACTGAGAACGAATTTGAGAAGAGGCTTCTGGCTGATGTGATCCCTCCCAATGATATTGGTGTGACATTTGATGATATAGGAGCACTTGAGAATGTCAAAGATACCTTGAAGGAGTTGGTGATGCTTCCTTTACAGCGTCCAGAACTTTTCTGCAAGGGGCAACTGACAAAGGTTTATATTATTATTTCTTATGGCAATAATTTTTCTTTTATTATTAAAGAGGTCTTCACCAACACATCCATCTATTTTTATATTCTTATATCACCTCTTGGGAATTATGTATGATGATATCATTTTTCTGTGCCCCAGCTTGTGGCTTTTCTTTACGAGTAGATGTCTGCCAATGGTTCCCCTCCCTATTCGATATTAGTGATCATTTGACTATGAAGAGATGGGGACATGATCTTGTTCCTTCTTATCATGAACAATTTTTTCTGAGACACTTCTGGTCACATTTCAATATGCTTATGCTTGAATCTTAACTTCACACGCATTTCATTCATAACCTCACATGTCTAGGCAAATGTTCGAATTTATCCTCTATTTTTGAACTTTGCATCGTGCTTTACAATGCTAATGTTTGGTCTCCTGTGGTTTTTGCTCTACCCTGCCTGTCGGGCGGATTGAATAACTGAACCATATTTTGATAAAGACATGTTAATCTCAGTTCGTTTGTTTCTCTGCAGCCTTGCAAGGGCATATTGCTATTTGGCCCTCCTGGAACAGGAAAGACTATGCTTGCAAAGGCTGTTGCAACTGAAGCTGGTGCAAATTTCATTAACATTTCAATGTCCAGCATAACCTCAAAGGTATCCTTTAAAAAAAATAATAATTAATTCTTATTGATTTAGCTTGTCTGACCCATGTTTCTCTATTCTCTACACTTATAGTGGTTCGGTGAGGGTGAGAAATATGTCAAGGCTGTCTTTTCGCTGGCTAGCAAGATAGCTCCTAGCGTGATATTCGTTGATGAAGTAAGTAATTCCCCTCCATATTTCAATATTTTTTGTATTGGGTACCAGTCATCATGTGACCATGCATCTTTTCCCTCTTTTCTTTCCAAGGTTGATAGCATGCTGGGCCGAAGGGAAAATCCAGGAGAACATGAGGCCATGCGTAAAATGAAAAATGAATTCATGGTGAACTGGGATGGACTGCGGACAAAGGACAAAGAACGTGTTTTGGTACTTGCTGCCACGAACAGGCCTTTTGACCTTGATGAGGCTGTGATTAGACGGCTGCCACGCAGGTAAAATAAGAAAAAAAAAAAAAATGAATGCAAAATGAGATTATGGTCTTCAAGCATCCAAACTTTTTGATGTTTGCATTTGTGCTTGTACTTGTGTTTCCCTATTAGGTTGATGGTCAATTTGCCGGATGCTGCTAATAGAGCCAAGATCCTTCGAGTTATTCTGGCCAAAGAGGACCTTTCGCCTGATGTAGACCTGGATACAGTTGCGAGTATGACTGATGGTTATTCAGGAAGCGATCTTAAGGTTTGAGCGTAAAGGCTTTTTGGTTGTGAATCTGATTCATTTTGGACCTGGGCTGTTCGTAACTTTTTCTTATTTTTCTCTTTCAGAATTTGTGTGTGACAGCTGCCCATCGCCCCATAAGAGAGATTCTGGAGAAGGAGAAAAAGGTATGTTTTCCTATCCCGTCTGTGTTCCACCTGATCAATCTTGAAGGACTAAATCCATAGTGATTGTTGATATATATAAATGTGTTTGGTTTGGTTGCTAAGTAAAAAATGAGCATCATGGTTTTCCCATTAGGCCTATCAAGTTACTACATGGTTTAATTATACACATGGGACTACACAAATGTGTTTTGCAATCATTACAATTACTTTGTATTTTTGTTTCTTGAGAAAAAAAAATATTTATTTATATTTACTATTCTTTTAGGATCATGCATGCATTTGCAGACTTCATATGTATGTAACCCATCCTCAGATAACTTTATTTGAGAATATTTTGGTCTGCATACTTATATGAATTTCTAAAATTATTTTATGTCGACCAGTATCCTTTCTATAGAATAGTACGTCTCACCTAAATGATGAATCAATAACAGGAACGAGAGGCTGCTCTTGCCGAAGGTAAACCTGTGCCAGCTTTGAGCGGCAGTGCTGATATTCGCTCTTTAAACATGGAAGACTTCAGATTCGCTCACGATAGGGTAAGTTTAGAGGAACAATATACATAAAAAAATAAGAAATCACTTGAGCAAATTTTAATCTCTATATTATAAAAAAAATGTTTATGTTCTTAACATCTTATCAACAACTCCCGTAGGTTTGTGCAAGCGTCTCATCTGAGTCGATCAACATGACCGAGCTTCTCCAGTGGAACGAACTCTATGGTGAGGGTGGGTCCCGCAGAAAGAAATCCCTTAGCTACTTCATGTGACAGCTGGCACATGTACAGAATTGTTCTCTCCCCCTCTTCTCCTAATTGTATCTTACCTGTCTGTGCTTTTGGTAATGGATGTTGTGCTGTGAAAAGCCACATTCAATTGTACAATGCAGTTTATATAGAGTTTTGCAGTTGCTACTTTTGGAAAAAAAAAAAGAAAAAAAGAAAAAAAAACTCAAAATTCGATAGCTTCTTCTTGAGATGGTGAAAGGTTGGAATAGCCTCCTTCCATGTTAAATTAAACGGCTAAAACTATTTGTAGGTCTGTCGTCTCAGCTAGGAGATGTCTCAGGGTCAGTTTAATCTCGTGTAGGTAAAATGGGTCTGAGACCGAATTAGCTGATCCTGCCCGTACAGCACTTTTCTTTTCCTTTTTATTTCCATTTTCGTTATTATTGTTGCTGCTGCTGTGCTGCTGCTAATGAAGCAATAAGAAACACCAATTTGTTTCACTTTTTCTATGTCGTTAATGTTTTATCAGATATATAGTTTTTTGCCGTTTTTGTGCTAAAAGGTGATTGACCCATGATGAGCAGGTATTTTGATTTATCCTGGTTAATGTTTTAGATCTTGAGATAAGTAGTTTGGTTCAGTTTGGAAGGTCTTGAGAATGTAAATGGTGTGATAGTTACAGAAACACAAATGTTTTGGATGATGAGTATTTTGATTCATTTGGGAAGGTCGTGAGAATTTACTTAATTTTGTTGCATATATCATATTGAATTTGATTTTGAGTCACACTGATAGTTTATGCGATTATATTAATTATTGCATTGGCGTTTAAGGTTGATGATCATATTGAATTTGATTTTGGAAGAGGACTTTATTATATTCAAATTGTCACCTCCCTTTAGAAACCTACATATTTCTATTAGGAGCCAGGAAAAGAAATTAAACTAATTTTTATGAAAACTTTAAACCGATGCAAAAAAGATTTCAGAAGATGGAAAAAGCAGCTCGGGTTGATAAATGTTAATGCCATTCTTTATTTAATGTCAACAAGATTTAAATGAGGAACAAAATTTTAACCAATTATGTTAAATCGTTTTTAACTTTTAAAAAATGGGTTTGAAAAATGGAAACCTAATAATAACAAGATGGCATGTGATAACAAGATTTTCTGTATACAAAATCCAAGCCATATGATTAATGAACAGTGCTCCATGGTGATGATAAAAGAAATAAAATGACAGAAATTTCTGTAATGATGGGCTTTGAGTGTCTCCCACATGACAATATGGGCTTTTTGTGTGGAAACATATCTATGCCTTTTTAACATTATAGACAAGAGGGTCGACAAAATTAGGCCCACCATTCTCAAAAAGCTTACAGAAAGGGCCTATTGATAAAAAGTCCTAAAAACCTAAATGCACAAAGTGCACGTGGATTTGTAATGATTGATCTCTCATTCACCAATTATATTTTATATAATTGAAGTCAATTAAATAAAATTAAGCGTTAGACGCTGTAATAAAAAAAGTGACTTTACAGGCAGACATGGCCACGGGTCAACCGGCCCGTCGACCCGGCCCAGACCCGGCACGGACTCGACCCAGTCAAACTCGTTGACCACGGGTCCGGACCCGACTCGGATTTTCAACCGGGCCGGTTCAGGGTCGTCTTTTTTTCGACACCGACCCAGCAGGCTGGGTCGGGTCTGGGCCGGGTCCAGTTCGACACGGGAAAAATCAATTATTTTTGAATTTTTCTATTTTTTTCTTTTTCTTTTTAATTTTTCCGGGTCAGACCCGGGTCGGGCCAGGCCGGGCCCGCCGGGTCATGGGCCCGGCACGAGTTTAGGGCGTGCCGGTTCAGGGTCAACAAAACCCAACCTTTCGGCCCGCCGGACCGGGCCCTGAATCGGCCCGCCATTTGTCCATGTCTATTTACAGGAAGTCAGGACGCGCTTGTTTATCAAATAATCCGTTCAAAATGAATTTTTTCGATTAACTAAAGTTAATTTTGAAAAAAACGGTATAGTTAGTAGTTAGAGGAATTTTAAGAATATCTTAAAATAATAATTAAAATTGATTTGATGTAAAAGTATGAGATAAATGATTGGAAATAATTGTAAATGATAGATAGTTAAAGTTATGTAAGTGGAAATAGTGAATTAAAGCTGATGTATCTTACAATAAATATATATTTATCTAAAAGTTTCCTAACTTGGCCCTTAACTATTATACCGTTTCTGTGATAAATAACTAGTTGACTATTTACCACTCAACAAAAGGTTCACTTCTTGTGGTGTATGTGATCAACGGTCTACTTTCTGAAATGTAACATTTCTAAGGTTTGTGAAAATGACTATGTACAATCAAT